AACGCTGAACTAGCTAGACACAACCGGAAGTTCTATTCTAATAGGTTCTCTTCTAGGACTTCACATTTGTGGAATTCTTTTTTCCGATTTATGGTTTTATGCAATATTAACTGTCATTCTTCCTGAATTATGTTCGTCTATTGTCTCTTCTCACTAAAGTATTCCACTCCTATTAACCCCTTGCATCTTAGTTGCATTAACACCGTGCATAGCGTGAAATGATTATTTGACGAAAATTCAGGTTTACGCGTGGATCCGAGAAAACACTCCCGACCGGATCTTATTCTTAAAAAAATGTTTTGGGACACGATGGATCTCACTTTTTCTTATACTAAACTTTACTTCTGCAATATAAGTTAATGGTAAAAATAAAGGGAAAATATTCTATAAAAATTTCTGTGTATCAATATTTTGGACGCATATATGTAGAAAGCTCTTTGAGAAATTAATAATAACAATGTTATTAACTATAAACACAGGTGAAAAAGATGATATTTATTGAATCCATTCTGAAAGAATCTAAGATATGTTTATCTAAAACAAAAGTATGTACGTAAAAACGTTCCATATTTAATATACAGAAAACAGCAAACATAATATCTACTAAATATACACACACGCACATTTACGGATATATCTTATCATCGGAATCTCACATAAACAAACTAGTATTTTTATAAACATACATACATACATACATACATACATACATACATACAGCAATATTTACGGATTTTCAGGTAATCTTTGTTAGTTTTTGGAAAATTTGGATTGACAACTAATATCTCTTTGAATTCGGAACGCCACTGAGGTCGGTTTAAAAGAGTCGAATGCACGCGATACATGACTGACGAAAGAAAATTAAACAACACAAAAGTAAAACATATCAGAATCTGTTTATTTTTCTCCATATCTCAGTCTCTGACGAATCTTTAATAAAACATATATCAAGAACACATGGCGCAGTGGATAAAGTCATTAGTTAGATCCAGTGACAGGACCCAAAGAGTGTGAGTTCAATACCCGGTTAAGGCAGTGGAAAGATTAACAGGAGATAACTGATAACTGATATCCATTAAACATGGCACGTGGAAATAGAACAGTCTACCCCAGCGAGCGAAATAAAGGGTTCAGTTCGACATTCCAACCACCTGAAGAAGGCCGGAGCGTACAACGGCCGAAGCGTTGTAAGAAATATGGCGACAAAGATGAGGACAATAGTCCGAATGATGTAAATTTTATATATATATATATATATATATATAGGGAAAGAGATTGACATTCGAGACAGAATATTTGTTCATATATGCAATGTGTGCAAAATGATGAACAATGCATCGTGATTGTCAGTTATACAACTTTCTTTTTGAGTTGATCAAAACGACTAAACTCTGATCTCTGAAGTAATGTTTTTCATCAATTCGAGAACTTTCCAACTTGTGTTATTATATATATATATATATATATATATATATATATATATATATATATATAATAAATACATACATATATATATATATATATATATATTTCATGGATTAATTTTTTTATCTGAGATTTTTATTACTTCAGATGGGATTATAGTGTCGGAGTACACCGTTTTCAGGTCGGTAGACGTATGATACACAGTTTAAAGTAAAAATAAAAATGAGGAGTCTATTTCAAATATGAGTAACCACATTAACAATGTTTGATTTACTGAACATATATATGTGCCTGTATGTATATATATATATATATATATATATATATATATATTAAGGCATTAAAAACAAGAAATGTTGTATTGTAGGCCATGATACAGTACAACATTTCTTGTTTTTAATGCTTAATACGCTTTTATGCCGTTTCAAACCTATTTAAATATATATATATATATATATATATATATATATATATATATATATATATGCACTTCGATATTGTATTATGTTTAGCGAACTCATCTCAGGCTATCCATTGCGATTATTAGTGATTTCGATCCTGATTCAGTAAACTATACTTGCGGATTTTTTGCCATATCACAGCTATGCTTGATAATATTTCTTTCTAGCCGGGGTGTACGCGCTCGGCCTCCCCACATTGAACCGACCTTGTGTCACAACCTGACCTCGTAGGGTTCGAGTAAATACCGAATTACTATAACGTAGAGTCAGGACTTATTAATCTCCCAATTTGTGTGAGTGTTCCATAATAGAGATTTTACTTAATAAGCTGTTATGTTTCTCTAACTCTTCAAATGTTGAATGTATAACTAATTCTGATTTCTATTTTCCCATCTTTACACTATATTAATTTTATATTATAAATTGTCCCCTTTTCTGTCACCCATGAATAAAAATAATTGTCTGTACGGTAAATATGAATCTACATACATCAAATCGTCTTCAAATTAAGTGGCAGCAGAAGAATCTTCGTTAAACTTTAATGAATAAAGCTTAAGCATTAATTCAATTATTAAATGCAGCGATCAATTTTGAGTTCTTCTGTAGTTTAGTGATACCTATCGCATCTACTCCTCCCTAGATATTGTAATGATGGCCAAACCAAGTGTCCTCTGCAGGATCTAGGTTAAACGCCGCCCGATCGGCGGCTTTTAAGCTAGTTTATAATAAAACGTGCACTGCAATTTTGGATACAAAAGGAAATAAGAATTACCCCCCTTGAATCATGAAAGCAACCTCGTATCATCTGCTAAATCTGAGCTCAACAAAAATCGTTCCCTGCGCCTAATTTCCCTAGGGCTTTTGAATGAGCTATGAATCATTGAAACCTGGCCAGTGGGAGCGGACGGGTTGATTGGGCATACATACGCACACACACACACACACATATTCTGTACTTTATATATAAGATTATTGTGTATTTAGTTTTCTCCACAATTGTGTTAAGGCCTATATTCTGAATTGGCCTCTCTAAAATATTGATATTATTGGGCATGAACTACTTGGCTTACATATGTTTAGAATAATTGCCTTATTGAAATATCAACGGATAAGTTTTTAGTATAGCTGTTTCTTCATAAGTGTTTGCGCCTTTACTGAGTGTTATGGTCCAAGTTTCTTGTACCACGGTGATGGTCCAAGGTGAGAACCAATGAAAGAATAACACGAACACAGGTATGGAATAGAAATATATATTACAACAGAAATATAATACAAAGTAGAAGTATTAGTAATGACTATCAGATTTGGTTAAAGTGAACTATGTTGTCTCGACAAGTATCACTATTCCAATGTCCTTACAATATGCTCTCAATTATCTCTCCTTCAAATAAAATGTCATCAACTGAAGTAAAAATAAACTGCATAAAAGAAGAAAATATTTTTGTAGTTACGTTTACAAAATGTACAACCTATCATTGATTCTTACAGGAAATGCTTGTTTTTCACGGTAAAACTATACCCCACCTCAGTATCCCGTAGAGTAAATTTACGCCAGTTGCAAGTATTTTATTGTGGACGTCATCTGAAGCTATCCGTTGGCATATACTTCACCTCTGCTCGTTGGCCCAGAAGCGGTGGGACCAGGTATAGCTAAATATTGACAAACGTGCAAAGGATATAATTTTTGGCTGATCATGGCTGAGACGCCTAGTATCATTTTTATCCACTATACTACAATTGTTTGCTCAATTAACTCCTCGAGAAACGAGATGTTTGCTTCTTCAGGACTTTTTAAACAACCACCGACAGTAAAATATTTGCTGCAGTATAATTACAAAATTAAAATTGTATCTTTTTAAAAAATGATTTCTAAAATCTTCATCTTCTGATCAATAAAAAAGGATGAAAAGAAAACCAGTCGTATCATTTCCTTCAACAAGAATTTAAAAATGTAACACAATGATCTCCATGAAGAATATTATGTCACATTTGAATTTCTTTAGGAAATATATCGATAAGCAATCAAGGGCAATTTGCATAACGGTAACCTCAACAGAAGAAGATAAACAATAGTTCATTTGCTTCAAGCGAGGTACTTAAAATCTCGTCAAACGGTTGCGTTGATTGCCTTTTTTGTGTCCGGGTTGTCTATTTGCAATTCCTCAGTGTTATGGGAACTTACCCATAATAATAATGGACCATTCCTGACATTATAAATAACGCGCCTCTCAAAAGGTATGAGGATATTGATATATGCTCTCAATTATCAAGATACCTCATAATGCACGTTTTCACACTGACATGTGTTTGCCGTAATAAACAATTTAAAAAAAAAACTCAAAATGTAAGTTTACACTCTGACATGTGCCGGCCCTAACAAAAAAATTAAAAAAAAAACATCTAATGTATCTTTTCAATCTGACAGCGTGTCGGCCCTAATAAAAAATAAAATCTCGTAATGTAGGTTTTCACTTTGACATGTATTACAGTAGAAATTAAATATCAAAAAAAGGATCGCCAGAGAAGATTCCCGAGTCAGAACATGATATTTTATTAGTGTGGATTTCATACTTTTCTAACGTCGTAAAAATTTGAAATTTGAATGTTTCCCTTCGTTTTTGTTTTGTCGAAAATAAATATAAAATAAGATAATACTTTCAACATATTTATTGAGCATCAAACGCTAACCAGCAAAATCATCGTGGTGGTCAATCAAATCAATCATTGATTCATTTTCTACCGTTTATCAAACCTTTTCAGGTTATTTAAAGCCAGAAAATAGGAGACAAGTAGATATGATTAAAGGAGACGTTGATAAAGATTTGAAACAGAAAGGCGGATAGACATATGGAAATTGAGATAGAAAGAATATTTAAAGCTAGAAAATATATTTAGATTGCAATTATTTTTTAGATAGTAATGGTATTAATGATACAAGGCTTACTAATTAATCCATAGATGAGGGAGAAGACGTGAATATATAAATTTCCAAGGGTATTCGCACGTAAACTATCGTAACGAAACCAACATGAATTGAAACTTGATTCACCGATAAACAATTCCGAGCCATTGTCAATTCCACAACTCGCACACACAAATTTACGGCATATTTTGTATTTCCAAGTGGTCACCCATCTAGGTACTGACTAGGCTCAACGTTGCTTAACTTCGGTTATCGTACGGGAATCTGTGTTTAACATTGATGTGGCCGAAACCAAAAAAAAAAAAAAAAAAAAAAATGAGGAAAAGTAAAAAATATATATAATTCTTATTTCAGGCTATGACATTCTGTGCGAGGTTCATGGAAGATTGATTCATTGTTTCTTACGGGTTATCAACCCTTTGCATGTTATATAATTCAAAAAAATATTTTTTTAGCTCTTAACGATTTTTTTATATAGTAATGGTTTAGGGATACATGTCTCAGAATGATATTTGCGCGTAAGGAAATATATGAATACTACATAGGCTCTCCGATTTGCAATTCGATCCTTTATTTAGTGCACCACCGAATATGTAACCTTACAGCAATTCGCATTCGCATGCGCTCACCAATCTTACTATGGTCCAGGCTTGTCATTGGCTAAATTCAGCGAGCCTGTGATAATCAATGTTTCAGCGTGACACCACCGTAAGCCGTTTCATGGAAGACGATGTTATAAGAAGGGCACTTATCAATAGAACAATCACAGACTTAGTCAGATCGTTCAATAGACGCGGCATTTTGCCATGTTTGGCGTTCCCCCATATCACCTTGACAATGAAAACCTGATATAAAAAATGTTTTAAATAAGAACTGACGACACAACTAATATTGTTTTATTTATTTTCCTATATATATATATATATATATATATATATTATATTATAATATAATCATGATTGATTTGATTTTTCCCCATGGCCCGATAATTGTATAAATAAAACTTCATGTTAAGGATTTTATTGAGAAAATGAGGTAAACGCCGTGTTTTGTAACAGTAAGTATTACATCTACCAGCCTATGCGATCGGGAGATTTAAACAAACTCTGCATAACTGTCCACCCCATCTTGTTAGGGGAAACAGGCGTCTGATACTGCCTGATTTAGGCCACACGGCCACATAGCGGGTCACAGCCCAACAATATTCAAATACTCTTTTGAAGTATGATTCACCACACGTTATGATCTTCTCAAATACATATACATATAAACTTCTCATCAAACGATTGTTTGTAGATTGGAAGAGATTATTTTTTAGTTATAAGACCGCTATAGTAACTACTAGTAGTTATGATCATAATGTAACTACAATAAACATAGATATATTAATCACAGCAGCAAAAATAATAGATTTCTAACAGCTACTTTCTCACGCACATGTCAATCTATCGTACTTTATATACTGTACACCGATCCTTCTTTACAATTGAAATGTCAGCCACAACTGCCAAGTGGTCACTTTGAATCCTAATAAGACTCCTTCCGATAAGCCCACATATTTGAAATACATCTCTGATGATTTATATATATATATATATATATATATATATATATATATATAAAGAGAGCAATAAATATTTATTTATTATGCAATTTTACATTAGTACATGTACGTATCCACTACAAAATTGTACATCTTGTTTCAGAGTTTAAAAAAAAAATTTCTAAACTTTCATCGTGATTTCCCACCTGATGTAACATTAGAAAAAAAATAACGTTGAAACAAGATGTACAGTTTTATAGTGGATATGTGCATGTTCTAATGTAACACTAATATATAATATATATATACTCAACACCATCAAGACACCAGAAATGTTGAAACAAATGGATATTTTTGCAGCTATTTTATAACATTTTTTGTTATAATTTTCGAATAATTGATAACATATATATATATATATATATATATATATATATATATATATATAGTGTATTTTTGTAGGAATTTATATGTTGTACTTACGGATAGACAAAATGATAAATAAGAATAGACTGAGGTAGATAGATATGGAGAACGAGAAGATAGATAGATAGATAGATAGATAGATAGATAGATAGATAGAATGTTATCTTGACTTCCTAGTTGATTTATATCGTGAGACTTCGACTGTCAATGTTACATGTTGTTAGCTATCAGTTTAGCACCCTTTTACACATGCCATTATTTTACAGCCTATTCGCCCTGTACAGGACCCAACTGCACTTGATCTAAAGAATTACAGAGTACAATGTAACGCTTTATGTAGAGGAGATAACAGTTAATCCGAGACATGAACAGATTTACGGCTACATCACGTTGAAACAATAGTACCCTTACGATCACCGATGTTATGCAACGTCGAGTATCTCAGTACCTTGATGGGTGAACGCGATCCAATTCCATTTGTTTTCATTATATCTTATTATACACAAATACACTTGAGAAAGATATGAATTCACTTTTTCTCTACCCCGCTATGGGTTGATTAGTAAGATTTGTATCACTCAAACATTATCAACTCCCCGCTCAAATTCTTACAATATAAAAATATTTTTAGTTATACATAAACTCCAAGGGGTTGATAAAGTTGTATAAAATGGATGAACGAATCAACAGATTTGAATTGGTTATGATTGTAGCGATCGAGGAATTATCCTATTTGGAATCGATTATACAAAGCAGCGGTTTGTGTTAAAAAGATTTTCGCGGCGAACTTTAATCTCCCAATAGGAATATGAAAAAATGCTGATGATCTGGTACAATGTGCGTGTGTATCCGGAACTTTCGCCGTGAACATTTTTGCCGTATAAAAACTCGCCTCAAGAATTTTACGCCGTAGGAAACTTTGCCGTATAGGATTTTTTCCGTAAGACAATTCGCCCCATTTTTAAAATTTTTTTTTTTTGCATACTTCTATATTTAGGTATTTAAAATGAATTTAAAATAGTTTATTTTTGAAAATAATTTGTGTAAATTTAAAAAAATAATTTGTGTAAATTTAAAAAAAGGGTTATCTTTCGTAGATCAGATATCTTATATTGAAGTTGGTTGCATATTCAAGTTGTAAGTTTGTTTGAAATAATATATATAGCTTGAGTGAGAATTAGCGGACTGATTTTATGTTAACAGAAAGTTTAACGTTACGTCTGAAATATGAAATTGCGTGACGTCAGTTCCGGTGTCAAGTTGAAATTTTTGCGCTCCTAACTGACGAGGATGACTGATGTAGGATTTTGATCCTATAACTCCGCTTATTAAAATGTTTAATCTTAAGTAACAATAGTGTGAGCTACATATACTTGATATTAAGGTATTTCGCATATTAAAAAAAATGCGGTGAAACTGTCTAGGGGGAAAATCCTATGGGGCATAATTTTCTTTGGCGAAAATTCCTGAAGCGAGTGTTCATATGGCAAATTTTTTTTACGTGGAATGTTCCTAGAAATGTGTGTGTGTCATCACGTGTCTTAACTGCGAAGTGTAGAACTGGTTGAAAACCGCGAATCAATGTGCGCTTGTAGAGATGTGTTACGTTTTCGAATGTTATGGGGAAAGAGAGAGAGAGAGAATTGTGTATGCAACGGGATCATCGAAACGCAAGCGTTGCATGTTAAGAACCATTAAAAGAGCCGTGAAGTGTGAGTAGCGTGTCCTTTATTTTCGTATCTCGGAATGAACATACACCACAGATGACGCTCTACCATTCTCCCTGGACCCCACGTTATCGCTGCGGATTTGAGGGGTTATCAAAAGCGTTGATCTGGACCGGTGCAGCCCTTTACACACACACACACACACACACCGATTCACATCATCGCTTCTGTGGATGTTTCTCCAAGCGATTTTGCTATCACTTCTCTGTAGCGCGTTGATAATCACACATAGAAATATAATAGGGAATCAACAAACATAGAACGATTTATCGATATTATCAACAGCCAGCAAGAACTTGCATCTTTGCTCTGTCCCAAATCGGAGTATGCTCTAAGACAAACATATATGTATATACAAGGTGTAATGGATAAACTGTAGTCTAAATGATGCAAAAATTAAAATAACACTGACATCTCAATTTAACAGATGCATTTACCATAATTACAGAAAAAGATCTTGTAATACTAAAAAGTAAATATATTCAACCTGGGTCTTCAAACGACTTCGGAATCTCCTGCATCTCTTCTGGACGATCTCCTTGTTTTATTTGGTGAATGCTGCCATAATCCTTGACTTCAGTTCACCTTTAGTGTTACAAGGGAGATTTGTTAGTCTCTCACTCAACTATGTCCCACTAATAATAATGAAAGGGTTGCAGTCTGGTGAGTTAGGTGGTTAGATATAAGGGTTAATATACTCGCAGAAATTGTATGACATATATGACTGGGTCCTCCTGCTTGTGTTGTATGGTGCACAATCATGCTACCAGATATATTGTCTCCCAACAGCCACTCTCTTGCCCCAGGTATAACCCTCCATGATATGCGCGAGGCTTTCACCAACAAATTTAGGGGTTCTTTTCTTATCAGATCGATCAGAGTCAGTTTTTCGAGCTGCCCTACATTCGTAATCACCATTAGACAAACCCAACTCTTTCCCAATCCTCTGTACTCTCTTCTGATTGACACCCGAACACTCTGAAATGTTCGTATTAGAGCTTCGATCGTGAATGCCAAGCAGTACAGTATGGCGTTTCCAAATTTCTGGCGGAGTGAATCGCGCCATGTTGTCCTTTTCTCACAGAAGGTGCCAAACATACTATAATGTGCAGTTGACAAAATGTAAACAAACAGAGTGCACGTGCGAAATTTAAAAATATAAAATGCCCAAAATTTACCCATCGCAACCTGTATGTTTTAATGGCTGTTCTGTAGGATTATCTGGGATGGAATAAAGTATGTACCTTCCTTTGGGGGCATGAGAAAATTTTCGTAAATGACGCGCACAGTCATGTTACAAGAACAAAGGAAACAACTTTGAATAAGATTTTATCATGTTTTATTGTCGTCTACTTCCGTTACGCCGTCACGTGTATTTGGCGTTCACTTACATGTTTGATTAAATGCACCAAATAGTTGAAGCATGTAAAAGCCTTAAAATTATTTTGAGGAGAGAGTGAAATCACGTGTTCTTTATATTTTAATATTATCCGCCTTGGGTTGAGAAATAAAATCAACGCCAAGAAACTGCAGTAGAAAGAGGAAAAGGGAAATAAAACGCCATTTTCTTTCTTCCTTTGCTTGATACTCTTTTA